AATAAAGTTAACCAGTCAAACAGTACAGTCCTTTCTTGAGCCATGGGCCTGCAGGCACTCAAGCTGGGCTTTCCCCAAGACGGCTTACTGCCCTCTGCACTGGGCATGCTTTCACCTGCACTGGGCTAAGACCTGTCCGCCCCTTTCACCAACAACCGCTGCTGCTGACCTCCATTGGGTACGTTGGGCTTCACCACCACGTGCGAGGTTTTGGCGCAAACCGACGCTGCCACCATCTTTTGCGACCGACTGCCTCTGCTGACATCCTCCACCAGTGGCTGCTAATGCCATCCAAGCTCATGCCAGGCCCTAGCTGCTACCACACTCTGTTGCCACCCTAGCCCCCTCACCGCACAGTCCCAATCTGATACCATTCCAGACATCGATGATACACCGATGGTGCGGAGAGGCATTGGAAGAGATGTGGTCATCCTTGACAAATGCTGCAAACTGAGAAGGATAAGAAAAGACCATTTCCCTCAGCCACAAGGGAGGGATTAAGAATGACAGATTTCAAGGGAATATGGACTAGAAACAAAATCATTAACAAAATTGGTGAAAGTGGGAATTTTGTGTGATCAGCAGTTTAGTTAGAATAGGCTCAATACAGCGGCGGTGGATCTTATGACAATTGAGAGGGCACTCGAGGAGATGGGAGAGAAATGAAAGAAAGGTGTTAGGTTCAGGGTTCTGCATGTTACAGTTTGGTCTGATGGGCTAATGGAAGGGAGGCAGCTGATCAGACTGTTTCAACATTCGTGACTGAAGATTTTCCACGCTTTCTTGCACTTTTTCAAGGTGAAGGAGACAGGGAAGAGGGAGAACTCTTCAAAACGAACTGGCTTGTGGTATGGATGATAAAAAGACTTGACACATTGTGTGGTAACACAAAGCTGATTTATTTGAGTTTATCCAGAATATTAACACATATATTTAAATTGTGATTTATCAGCAGAAACAGACTGCAAAGAACATGGCTGTGCCCTGAATGTAATTCACAGCAAAATCTAATTACTGCTTATTTTGTGAACTTGTTGGTGTTTCAGCAGACAGTGTAACTGAGTGAAACCCTTCCCACACTTGCAGCAGGTGAATGGTCTCTACCCAGTGTGAAGTTGTTGGTGCACGGTAAGGTTGTACAATTTCTTGAATCCAGTCCCTTTCCCACACTTGGAACAGGCGAATGGCATCTCCCCAGTACGACTGTGTCAATGCTGTCTCAGGACAAAAGGGGATGTGAAAGCCTTCCCACAGACCCCACATTTCCACAGCTTTTTGCCAACGTGACTGAGCTGGTCTCTTGAGACATCAGACAAATGGCTGAAGACTCATCCACACAGGCGTCGGTTTCTCCCCACTGTGAGCAGTGCTTTGTAAAATTGAACCGAACGAACCTGGTAATTTGTCGGACCAGGAACAGGAAAAGGTGACCAAAAAACTGCTGGATTGTCTTAAAAAGCCAACTGATTCACTAATGTCCACTAAACCTGCCACCTGGTCTGGACCTACACAAAGTTCTGACCTCAATGGATGGAAAGAAACAGAGTGAGACAGAGCGTCAAAATGGAGGGTCTTTTGTAGGATCTGCCTCTGTAATATGCATCCTGCCTCAGCTAAACTAGTTTTGAACCTAATCCATTCCTCGGATACCTCTACACTTGATGATGCTAACTTTATATTCCCACCTCCCAAATTTCACCGCTACAATTTTCACATTATCACGATTTGTCCTTACATCATGTCCCTTTCACTATCACCACTTTGCACATTGACCTATCCCAGTTCAGTAACAGCTGAAATTTGAAATTCACTTCCTTGTTTTCCAGCTCCTCAATAATTTTGGTCTCTATTTCTAAATGTTGAAAACATTTTCCCACAGACAGAACAAACCTTAATCCTTCCAGGGTCAAAAGCCAAATGATATTCAGACACATGATGTTTGTTTTTAAGTTTAGTGTTTGCAAATCCTTTTCATTTAATACCTAATGAAAGGAGTTTACAAAAAAAACTCTCACTATCAATTCAAGTTAGAAATCAAGAAGAGGCAAACTTTTCTTTTGGTTTGAATTTGCTGTGGTAACAGTGGAGGAATAGTGTTGGCGAGGGATGGTGAGGAGATAGAGCTGGACACTGTCAGTGCACATGTGAAAACGAACACTGTGCTTTTGGATGGTGACACCTAGTGGCAGCATGGAGATAGAAATAGGAAGTGCCAAGAATAGATCCTTAGGGAATACCTAGGAACAGAGACTTTGGAGAGGAAAGGAAAGGTGGAGAGAGGGTGGTAGTTTGCAAGGGCCATTAAAGATGATAGAGATTGAACTTCTGGTACTATGACCTCTGATGGCTCTGTTGTGTGGCACTGTATCAAATGCCTTCTGGAAAGTCATGGACACAACAAGATCAGCTCTGCCACAATCAACCCTCACACTTCTTCGAAAAACATAACTTAATTTCCTTTTCAAAAAAATGAGTAAGTTAATTAAACATATGAAAGTAATACTAATTTTCCTTTATTGACTAGCATTTGTCCGTATGGTTTTTAATTTTATCCTAATTTATTGTTTCTAGTTTTCACAATCACTGAAGCTAAACCAATTGACCCAGGGCATAATATTTGCAGTACTCCAATCCCCTGGCACCAGTGATAAGTGTAAGGAATCTGAAAAGTTTGCACTTTTTGCACCCACACTTCCCTCAGTATTAGTGGATGCATTTTATCCAGTCTTGGTACATTATTAACTTTATGGACAACCAGCCTATTCCTATTCTTATCTGGTATCTCATATCTTCTCCTTATTAATTATAAAGCTTCCCAGGTCTGAATTATTGACAACATTTAAATCACTGTAGTTACTTGTGAACACTTTGGTGTCTCAGCAGGTGTGATAACTGAGTGAATCCCCTCCCACATTTGGAGCAGGTGAATGGTCTCTCTCCAGTGTGAATTCTCTGGTGTTTCAATAAGTGGGATAACTGAGGAAATCCTTTCCCACACTCGGGGCAAGCGAACGGTCTTTCCCCAGTGTGAACTCGCTGGTGTACAGTCAGTTGTGAGGATCGCCTGAACCCAGTCCCACAGTGAGAGCAAATGAACGGCCTCTCGTCCGTGTGAACACGCTGATGGGACATCAGGTCCCCGGAACTTTTAAAGCACTTCCCACAGTCTGAGCATTTAAACGGTCTCTCGTCAGTGTGAACCCGCTGGTGTCTCAACAAGTCAGATGACACAGTGAAACCCTTCCCACATTCAGCGCAGGTAAACGGTCTCTCCCCGGTGTGAACTCGCTGGTGTAGCAGCAGGTTGGATGACTGAGTGAATCCCTTCCCACACACGCAACAGGTGAATGGTTTCTCCCCAGTGTGAACTCTCTGGTGTTTAAGCAGGTGGGATGACTGAGTGAATCCTTTCCCACATTCCGAGCAGGTGAATGGCTTCTCCCCAGTATGAACTCGCTGGTGCTCGAGCAGGTGGGTCGACTGAGTGAATCCCTTTCCGCAGTCAGAGCAGGTAAACAGCCACTCCCCAGTGTGAACTCGCTGGTGCCTCCGGAGTTGGGATGAAGCAGTGAATCCCTTCCCACATGTGGAGCAAGTGAATGGCCTCTCCCCAGTGTGACTGCGTCGATGGGTTTCCAGCTTCGATGGAGAAATGAATCCCTTCCCACAGTCTGTGCATTTCCATGGTTTCTCCCCAGTGTGACTACATTTATGCTCTGACAGGCCAGATGATTGGCTAAAGGCTCGTCCACACACAGAACACGTGTACGGTTTCTCCCCAGTGTGACAGCGCTTGTGTCTTAACAGGTCAGATGATTGGCTGAAGCCTCGACCACACACAGAGCATGTGTATGGTTTCTCTTCACCGTGAATGGTGCCTTTTCCTTCCATGTTCAAAATCCGATGATACTCAGGTTACAATAGATTGGCTGACTTTTCTGTGAATTTTGGATTGACTTCCTTGTCTCCAAACCCTCTCCTCCTCATACCCTGTAAAACTGATTTAAAACAGAACAAATCAAGTTTGAGAGCGTCCACAAAAACACAAAAGGTGGGATGTAAAGTTGAACTGAATGAATCAAGTAATTTGTGTAGGGCCAGCAAATTTATCTCCTCCCAGTCTGAGGTCATCCAAAAGTGCATGTATGATACTATCATCAAATCTTCTTCATCCATCACCCCTGTGCTCACTAACCCATGAAGGCCACCAGTTAAGAAGCGCTGAATTTATAAAATTCTCATCCTTCTTCATCCAGAAACCTCATGGTTATGGACATCCCTATCTCTGTAATCTCCTCCAGCTATACAACACTGAGATATTTGCACTATCCTGGCCTTTTCAGCACTCCCAATTAAGAACATAGAACAGTACAACACAGTACAGGCCCTTCGGCCCATGATATTGTGCCGACCTATTATATTACTAAGATCAATCTACCCTGCATACCCTACATTTTACTATCCTCCATGTGCCTATCCAAGAATCGCTTAAAAGTCTCTAAAGTACCTGACTCCACTACCACTGCCGACAGTGCATTCCACACGCCCACCACTCTCTGTGTAAAGAACCTACCTCTGACATCTCACCTTTCTCCAATCACCTTAAAATTATGACCCCTCGTAATAGTCATTTCCAGCCTGGGAAAAAGTCTCTGACTATCCACTCTATCTATGCCTCTCATCATCTTGTACACCTCTATCAAGTCACCTCTCATCCTTCTTTGCTCCAATGAAAAAAGCCCTCGCTCCCTCAACCCTTCCACATAAGATCTGCCCTCCAGTCCAGGCAGCATCCTGGTAAATCTCCTCTGCACCCTCTCTAAAGCTTCCACATCTTTCCTATAATGAGGTGACCAGAACTGAACACAATATTCCAAGATAACAAGGTGTAGAGCTGGATGAACACAGCAGGCCAAGCAGCATCAGAGGAGCAGGAAGGCTGATGTTTCGGGCCGAGACCCTATGGTCTAACCATAGTTTTATAGAGCTGCAGCATAACCTCACGGCTCTTAAACTCAATTCCCCTGCCAATGAAAGCCAACACACCATACGCCTTCTTTACAATCCTATCAACTTGGGTAGCAACTTTGAGGGATCTACGGATGTGGATCATAGTACTCAGTTGTACTCAATATTTCCTTTCTAAACCTCACTCCCTTTCTTCTGAAAGCATTGACCATGCTATTGGTCACCTAACCTAATATCTATCAACACCAGATGTGTTTATGAGGAGTGTTTCAGTGATGATCATAAGACCATAAGATATAGAAGCAGAATCAGGCCATTTGGTCCATTAAGTCTGCTCTGCTGTGGCTGATATGTTTCTCAAACACATTCTCCTGCCTTCTCCCTGAACCCTAGATCTCCTTGCTAATATAGAACCAATCTATTTTTGCCTTAAAGACATTCAATGAACTGGCCTCTACAGCTCTCTGTGGCAATGGGTTCCACAGATTCACTATCCTCTGGCTGAATAAATTCCTCATCTCAGTCCTAATGGGTCGTCCCTCTGCTCTGAGGCTATGCCCTTGAGTCCTAGTCTCTCTAACGAGTGGAAACATCTTCCTCACATCCACTCTATCTAGGCCCCTCAGTATTTTGTAAGTTTTAGTGAGATACCCCCTCATTCTTCTAAACTACTCCTCATATGACAAGCCCTCCATTTGTAGGATCATTCTTGTAAACCTCCTCTGAACACCGCCAAGGCCAGCCCATCCTTCCTTTATTGTGAGGGACGTGCTAAATAAACGCAATTTTCTGTTGTTGATTTGACCTATAGTGCTGTTCCCTCACCGTTCACTGGTTGAATACCTGCAACTCCTTGCCTAACAGCATTATGGGACTGGGATCATCACAAAGACTGCAACAGTTCAAGAAGTTCAAACGTGGATTGGTAATTTATGCTAATTCTTGCTAGTGGTGCTCAAATACCCAGAACAATGCTTTAAAATATATCACTGTAAAACAGATCTAAAGCATACATTAAAAAATACCTGTTAAACAACAATGTGGACATTGTCCCTTTAACAACTGATCTTCCTTGTAATCTCTCTTCTTTTGATAATTTTACATTGGAAATTGCTGAGCCTGACTAGAATCCAAAGTCCTCGGGGTTAAACTAAGCAGCTTCTCGATCTCCAGTCCCGTCCAAACTGACAGAACAAAGGCACTCAAAGGGAATGGGATAAACACCTGATGTCATAATTAAGGACTCTGGGGACAGATCAGGGGAGTGTAACGAACTGATATGTTTTTACAGAGAGACATCACAGGCACAAGTTGAGTAGCCTCTTGGACCAACACTCACCTTAATACAAATTGGCTCTGAAATGGTGTCTCTCGGTTTCTAGACTCAGTTCTGATAAACGTCTGGACGCATCGAGTGACAGTCAGATTTTGATGTGATGTTTGGATTGAGATTCCAGTCTGCAATTACCCTTGTAATATTCTGTCAAAGATTTTTTATAAAATACATCAGTGTCAGTCCAGGATAGAAATTCACAAAATTTGTCCCCTTCCTGACCCAGAATGACCATGCTCCCTCCTGCACATTGCCTGCCCCCTACAAGGATGGTGGCCGCGTATGCACGCTGCCGCCCCGTGCCCCCAGAAAAGATGGCGTCCATTCCGCGGGGCCTACTTCTGAGAGGAAGCCTGGCGCCGTCGTTGTATTTGGTGCAAACGAAGGAACAGGAAGATTTAGTCGGGGTTTAAGTCTTACACAAGATGCTTACGAAGCGTCTCCATCCACCCGCCCGAACCAATGGCCATTTCTTTCCGCTTCATTCGTGACGTCTCAGGAGCTGAGAAACGAAAGTCCGACCTTCGCCATTACTGGCTCCATCCGCCGTTAACTTTGCGCCTGCGCTCTGACAGCCCATCATGCAGATAGGAACATTCCGCACCGCGTGGGAGTATGGGTAGGCTGCCTGCCATTAAAAGTCGAAACAATGTAATTCGGCTTCGTTTTTGTTTATAAAATGGAAAATGAAGACGGAGACGCAATGTCAATTTCAGTAAATAAATTACAATAACATCCATATAAGCCACAGACTGTTGCGATAATGTGACATACACCTCCTATTTTAAGAATCATATAATTGTTGCATTTCAGGAAGAGCACATTGTGTTTGCGTTGGCTCTCAAAAGAGCATCCTACTTAATGCCATTGATCAGTCCATTGAGTATAGTAATTGGGAATGTTACGTTGCAGCTCTACAGGACATTAGTTAGGCCACTTTTGGAATACTGTGTTCAATTCAAGTCTCCCTGTTATAGAAAAGATGTTTATTTGAAAGGGTGCAGAAAAGATTTACAAGGATGTTACCAGGGTTGGAAGGTTTGAGCTACAGGGAGAGACTGAACAGGCCGGGGTTATTTTCACTGGAACATTGGAGGCTGAGGAACGACCTTATAGAATTTATGATATCAGGAGGGGCATGGATAGTGTGAATAGCCAAGGTCATTTTCCCAGGGTAGGCAAGACCAAGATTAGAGGCCACAGGTTTAAGGTGAGAGGGGAAGGATCTAGAAGGGACCTAAAGGGCGACTTATTCACGCAGAGGGTGCTGTGTATGTGTGAAATGAGCTGCTAGGGGAAGTGGTGGAGGCTAGTACAATTACAACATTTAAAAGGCATCTGGATAGGTATATGAATACAAAAGGTTTAGCAGAATATTGGCCAGAAGTTAGCAAATGGAACTAGATTAATTCAGGATATCTGGTCAGCATGGACGAGTTGGAACAAAGGGTCTGGTTCCATGCTGTATGACTCTTTCCCATCTCCTTCCCACAGCACTTCACATTCTTATTTTTCAAATAACCATCTAATTCCCTTTTCAAAATGGCAACTGAACCCACCTTCACCACACTGGCTGGCAGTGCATTCCAGAACCTAAACACTTGCTGTATGAATAACATTTTCCTTAGAAAACCTTTGATTCTTTTACTAATCATGTTACATTTGTGCCCTCTCAATGGGAACAGTTTCTCCCTATTTATGCTGTCCAGCCTACTCCTGATTTTGAACACTTCAGTTACAAGGGCATTCTCTTGGGAACACAGAAACAGGAGAAGGCCATTCAGCCCTCAAGCTCGTTTTGCCATTCAATGAGGTCATGGCTGATCTGTAGCCTAATATGTGCGTTTGGTCCAAATTCCTTAATGCCTCAGAGTCATATAGCATGGAAACAGACTTTTCAGTTCAACTTGTTCATAACAACCAAGTTTCGCAAATTACACCAATCGCATTTGCCTGCAATAGGCACATATCCCCCTAAACCTCTCCTATTCATGTACATGTCTAAATGTCTTTTAAATTGTTGTATAATTGTACCTGCATCTACTACCTCCTCTGGCAGTTCATTCCACGTATGTACCACCCACTGAGAAATCTGCCCCTTAGGTCCCTTCTAAATCTTTCTCCTCTCACCTTAAAAAACAGTCCTCTCATTTTGAACTCCCCTTCCCTAGGGAAAGGATGTCTGCTATTCACCTTATCTATGCCCCTCATGATTTTATAAATATCTCAATCTCCTATACTCCAGAGAAAAAAGTCCTAGCCTATCCATCCTCTCCTTACAACACACCCCTCCAGTCCTGGCAACATCTTTGTAAATCTTTTCTGAACCTTCTCCAATTTCATAATATCCTACATATAGCAGTATGACCAGACTGTACACAGTACTCCAAAAATGGTCTCAATGTTCTGTACAACCGCAACCCAACTTCCAACTCCTATACTCAATGCTCTGATCAATGAAGCCAAGCATGCTAATACTTTCTTAACCACCCTGTCTACCTGGGACGCAACTTTCAAAAAACTATGCACCTGAACCCCGAGGTCTCTCTGTTCAACAACACTACCCAGGACCCTACCATTAACTGTATAAGTCCTGTCTCTATTTGTCTTACCAAAATGGAACACCTCACATTTATCCAAATTAAACTATCTGCCACTCCTCAGCTCATTGTCCCAATTGACCAAGAGCCTTATGTAATCTTAGATAACATCCTTCATTGCTCACTGTTTACCAATAATTTTGGTGTCTTCCGCAAACTTACTAACCATGCTGCCTAAATTCTCATCCAAATCTTATATAAGTGACAAACATTGGTGGACCCAGCACCAAACCCTGCAAAATATCACTGATCACAGGCTCCCTCACCTGAAAAACAACCCTCCATCACCACCCTGTGTGCTACCATCAAGCCAATTTTGTATCTAATTGGCAAAGTCTCCCTGAATCCTAAGCAATCTAACTTTACTAATCAGTCCAACATATAGGATCTTGTCAAAGGCTTTACTGAAGTCTACTGCTGTGCTCTCATTTATCTTTGTGATCACATCCTCAAAAAACTCAATCAAGTTTGTGAGATACGATTTCAAATGCTTTTGCTTATCAAAATTTTAAACCGGAGATGGATAAATTTATCAACTGATCTCATATGAACCAGTGTTTGTGGAAGAGAGTTCCAAATCTCTACTGTCCCTTGTTAGGAAGCACTTCTACACATCTCTCCTGAATGGTCTGGCTCAAATTTTAGATTATGTCCCTTAATTGTAGAACAAGTGGAACTCTACCTTGTCTTTTCCTATTACTATAACATCTTGAAGGCTTTGAACAGCTCACCCCTTAACTTTTATGTTCCAGAGAAAAGTGACGTAATTTGTATAATCTGTATATCTTAACCTCTGAAGTCCAGGTATCGTTGTTGTAAACCGACACTATACTCTCTACAAGGCCAATATATCCTTCCTATGGAGTGGTGCTCAGGTCTGCTCACAGTACTTCAAGGTAATAACCAGGGTTTCGTATAGCTGCAGCATAATCTCTGCATCCTTATACTCCAGCCCTCTGAATATAAAGGTTAGCATTCCTTAGCCATCTTGATTATTATTTGCACGTTTCTGTGGCATTATAAAGATCTATGCACTCAAACCACGAGGTCTCTTTAGATATCCACTATATTTAACTTCATACCATCTGCCAAGTACCCTGATCTTTCCATTTTTTCGTCCAAAATGGATAACTTCACACTCAACTACATCGAAATGCATCTGCCAGTTTTGCACATTCACCTAATCTATCAATATCCCTTCAGAAATTTTGTACTACCATCTACACTGCTATGACTGTCCTCCATATCTTTATTAAAAAAAAGCCTAGGATATGCAATACTTCTTAAGCACTCTCTCAAGCTGTCATGCCACATTTAAATGACTTACACACACTCAGGTCCCACTGAGTCCCTTTTAGATTTGTACCCTTTTTTAAAATATATATTTGGGAATACAGATTTGATTATTATTGACCAAGGGCAATTTTTGTTGAAATTTTCAGTCTTGAAATTAACTGCATGGCAACACCTCTACCAATCAGATTCCACTTGCCAACAAATCAGTACTCTCCTCTCATTCTGTATAAACCTTGATTTTTTTCCCCTTGAATTGCTATTATTGCAAATTGTCGTGATGAGTGCAAGGTGGAAAGTTTTGAAAAAAATATATATCTTTCTTCAGAATATTCATATATTAAGAATGTTGGATTCTAAGGATGCACGACTCATAATACACAACGAGTTTGGTCAAACTGCACAAATTCAAAATTATATGTAGTTCTCAAACTAAAATTTCTTTCATTTTATTATCTGAAGCATTTTGCCTTCTCTTCAGGTTAAAGTGTGAATCTGAGAACTCAAAGAATTTCTGGTCAAATGAATGAAGATCAATTAGGATCCGGTATCTTGGCAGGGCGGGATAATGAGTGAATCCCATCCCAAGTTCAGAGCAGTTGAAATGCTTCTCTCCAGTGTACACTCTCTGGTGTACAATGAGCTCAGCTAACCATTAACAGACTCATGTTACATATACTGAAAAGACCAAGTCACTCAACATTTAGCATAAATCTGACTTAGTTGAGCATTACCCAGAATGTTAAATTGTAGCCACATTTAAAAAGGTGCTATTATCACCTGCACAAACCAATCAACATGGTTCAGTCTGGGATGTAATCAAGTATGGAATCCAAATACTCATTAATCGTAAACCCTCTGCTGTCTAAGCAGGTTGGTTGACTGAGTGAATCCCTTCTCACACTCAAAGCATGAAAACGGCCTCACTCTGGTGTGAATTTGCTGGCGTACAGTGCATTCGCATGACCAACTAAACACACTCCCACAGCGAAAGCACCTACATAGTCTCGGGTCAGTGTGAACACATACATACTGAGCAACAGATCCATGCAACATGAATGTATGGATTTTACAAGTTTAACAAACAAGAGATCTTCCGTCAACTCATGAGTATGTAAACTGAACAAGAACAAAAGAACAAAATAGCATAGGACCAGGCACTTTGGCCCTCCAAGCCTGCGCCGCCACATTTTGCCCTTCCATACTAAAACTGCCTTCACTTACAGAATCTGTATCCCTCTATTCGCTTCCTATTTGTGCATTCGTCCAGTGTGTCTTGAACGCTGCTATTGTGTCTGCTTCCTCCACCACCTCTAGCAGCGTGTTCCAGGCACTCACTACCCTTTGTGTGAAAAACTTGCCTCGCACATCTCTTAAACTTAAACCCCCCACCCCCAGTCTTGAACCTGTGTCCCCTAGTAATTGACCCTTCCTCCCTGGGAAAAAGCCTCATACTTCCCACTCTATCCATGACATTCACAATCTCATAAATTTCTATCAGGTCACTCCTCAACCTCCTGCATTCCAGTCAGAGCAAATCCAGTCTATCCAACTTTTCTTCATAGCTAAAATCCCCCATACCAGGCAGCATCCTGGTAAACCTTTTCTGTACCCTCTCCAAAGCATCCACATCGTTCTGGTCGTGTGGTGACCAGAACGGTAGGCAATATTCCAAGTGTGGCCTAACTAAAGTTCTGTAAGCTGCTGCATAACTTGCCTTTCCTTATACTTAATGCCCCTTCCAATGAAGGCAAGCATGTCATAGGCCTTTTTTTATTATCTTATCTACCTGCGCTGCCACCTTCAGTGATCTGTGGACCTGCGCACCCAGATCCCTCTGAATATCAATACTCTTAAAGTTTCTGCCATTCTCTGTGTAATTTCCACCCATACTTGACCTTCCAAAATGCATCAGCTCACATTTGTCAGGAATAAACTCCATCTGTCATTTTTCTGCCCATGCTTCCAACTGATCTGTTTCTTGCTGTATACTCGGACAATCCTCCTCACTATCTGCAACTGCACCAATCTTTGTATCGTCTGCAAACATACTAATTAGACCAACCACATTTTCCTCCAAATCATTTATGTAGACCACGAACAGCAGAGGTCCCAGCACTGATCCTGTGGAAAACCACTAGTTACAACCCTCCATTCCGAAAAGCATCCTTCCACCGCCACATGAAGCAAGTGAATGACCTTTCCCCAGTCTGAACTTGCTGGTGTTTTTGCAGTTTTGGAAGTCACTGGAACCTCTTCCTGCAGGGAGGACAAATGAATAAGTGGATCCGAAGTGCCATGAGCTTCTCGCACTGGTTTTTGGAGGGGGGATGGAGGCAGGAGAGGGAGATCTCTTCTAAGGAACTAATCTGTTGAAAAGACGTCAAAAAGACTAAATACAGGGTTTCTAACAAAAGATAGATTTGTCTTTTCTGCAGGATACCAACACCAATAAATTGTCCGAAGTTTTTGAAGATCAGCAGACACACACCAATGAACGTGGTTCATTAATACAAGTAAAAGCAAAATTCCAATCACTGTAGTTACTTGTGAACTCGCTGGTGTCTCAGCAATGTGGATAACTGAGTAAATGCCTTCCCACAAATAGAGCAGGTGAACGGCTTCTCACCAGTGTGAATTCTCTGGTGCACAGTGAGTTGAGATGATTGTCTAAAGCCAGTCCCACAGTGAGGGCATCGAAATGGTCTTTCTTCAGTGTGAACACGTTGATGGTTCATCAGTTCCCTGGAACTTTTATAGCATTTCTCACAGTCTGGACATTTAAAAGGTCTCTCATCAGTGTGAACGCGCTGGTGTGTAATCAAATGGAATGACTGAATGAATCCCTTCCCACACACGGAGCAGGTGAATGGCCTCTCCCCAGTGTGAATTCGCTGGTGTATGATCAGTTGAGATGATCGCTTGAATGCAGTCCCACAATGAGCACATCTGAATGGCCTCTCGTCGGTGTGAACAAGTTGATGGGATATCAGTTTCTCAGAACTTTTAAAGCAGGTCTCGCAATCTGGACATTTAAAAGGTCTCTCATTAGTGTGAGCCAGCTGGTGTTTCAGCAGATGGGCTACCTGGGCATATTGCTTCCCACACTTGGAGCAGGTGAAAGGTCTTTCCCCAGTGTGACTACGTCGATGAATTTCCACCTGAGACGGATAATTGAATCCCTTCCCACAGTCTCCGCATTTCCATGGTTTCTCCCCAGTGTGACCACGTCGGTGCCTTTCCAGGTCAGATGGGTAATTGAATCCTTTCCCACAGTCACCACATTTCCAGGCCTTCTCCCTGATGTGACTGCGTTTGTGCTTCAGCAGGCCAGATGATCGGCTGAATCCTACTCCACACACACAACAGATGTATGGCTTCTCCCCATTGTGAATGGTGTTTTCTCCTTCCATGTTCAAACCTGATGAAATTCAGGTTGTGATAGATTGGGTACCTCCATCAGATGCTGAATTAATATTTAATTTAAAGTTTTCCGAATGCAAATTTTCCCCCTTCAACAACCTGTGAAACAGGGGGTAAAAAAGGAAGAGTGAGAGAATCCACAAAATCATACAGGAAAGTTTCAAAATTGAGCTGAATCAATCTAGTAATTTGTGCGAATAGCACTAGGAAAAAACATGCCTGTGAAAGTAACTGAGCTGCCACAAACACAACTGGTTCAGTAATGTCCTTCAGAGAAGGGAATCTGCAAGACAAACAAACACAAGACTCTGGACCCTTTGGGAAGGTGGGAGGAGAAAGAGGGAGGAGAGCAGGAAATCACAAGATGAAGTAGAAGGATGTTTTCCGCCTACATCTGAAACAGAATGCTGAAAGAAGGTTTGGGAGAGCCTATCGCCACTATATAGAACGACTAGGGTAGCTGGTGAATATTGACAGCATTACCTCAAATTCCCCTCCAAGTCACACACTGTCCTGACGCGTGAAGCCTCACACTGGCTGTTAATGCGCACAGATCATATTGAGAGAGCAGTTTGCAAGATATATGGGGACTTGGCCTTAGTAAAGTGAAGTATTGAGTACCACTACGCAGAATGGATGCTGACCCAAAACAAAATACTGCTCTTTGATGTATCCATCAGGAGTAGTCAGGGAAGTGAAGTTGAGGGCACGTGTTTCGCTGCTTAATGACTGAGACTCATTTTTTGCAACCTTGTATCCAAATTTAACCACTGGAGTTGAGGTATCACTTAGGTAAATCTGTTCTGCACTTCCTGTAATACCAAGACAATCTGCCCTTCCTCAGGTGGTTGCCCAAAATCGAACACTTTCTCCAGGGGTGGTCTAACTGTGATTTGAAGTATCTTAACGCTTTTCTAGTCACATCCATACCTGAAGTCTTTCCCAAAGGTAAGCCTTCTTCTTCTCACACCGTAAAAGTCGGCTGATAGCCAAGTCCTGATGAGTCGAATAGCATTGTCGGAATTTGACGTGGTGTTTCTTTTTGGGTTTCCGGTCTGCAAATCATTTTCATTTAATACCCTCTGAAAAGGAGATGACAACAAATTAAAACATTCACTCTCAATCCAAGTTAGAAATCCAGAAGGCACAAACCTTTCTCTTGGTTTGAGTTTGCTGTGTGCAAATCGTCCTCTACTAAGCATTTGACAAAGGAAGCCTGCGGATGCGCCTTGCTACAACTTGCCCCCTACGAAGGTGGCGGCCGCACATGCCTCTCCTGGAACGTTGCCCCCGAGAAACATGGCGGCGGCAACACGGACCCTGTCTGGCCTGAGGCCTGCAACTCTTTTCCTCGTTCATGCAAGAGCAGAACCGACCGTTTCTAACTCAGGTCTAGCGACCTTCACCGGTTGCTTATAAGTCCTCCAGGTCCACACGGACTTCATTGCTCTCAACCTCTGCGATGTTTCTCCGAATCTGCCATCTCGCTCTGGAACCAGGATTCCGTTGCATCGCCACTGCGGCTGCGTGATGAATGCGAATATGTGACGTCGCACATCCATCGCCTGCTCCGATTGGTTGGAGGACCTACCGCTTCCCAATCGGTCGTCCAGGCCCGCTCCGTCCTTTTCTGTCGATCCGGAGCTGCAGTCAACGCATGCGTAGTCGCCGTCATCTCCCCCACCATCCCAAACGCCCGGCCGCCAATGGTCAGTAACAAAAGATGAAGTGTTGGGAGAAACTTGGTTTTTGGACCTACAGTCGGTGAGAAATCAGGCTGATCAATTGGGGTGATGGATGGATGGGTAGACTGACTTCGGGAACATCTCAAACCCGAATAAGCGTCTCCGTTTGCACCAAACAGGAAAGAGCTCCAGGATCCCTCCATTGACGGGCCCGAAGGAGACGATCGCCATCTTTGATGTGGGCACTGGGGAAAGGGGCGACTGTGGCGTTGGGGGGCAACGTGTGGAATGAATGAGAGGAGCGTGCTGCCCATTGTTCAGAATGGAGACAACTTGACCATCAAGCTGCATCAGCCTTTCACATTCAATATCTTATTGATTAGCGTTAGGGTTTGACAACCTTTGCCTTGGTGTTTTAACAAAACAAAGGACTGTAGCTGTTGGAAGTTGGAAGTCTGAAACAAAAGCAGAAAGTAACCCAGCAACTCTGACAGCGTCTGTAGCATTTTCTGTTTTTGTTTCTGCCGTTGTGTTTTTGTAGGTTCTCTCTCACTCGTTTCTGTTTTAAATCATTTCACAGGTATGCAAAACAGAGGTATTCTAGTTGAGAAGCTCAAAGCTAAAATCACTGCAGCACCTGACGGAAATTACCCAATTTATTGTAATTTGAGTATCATTGAACTCTGAACATGGAAGATAAAGATATAATTGACAGTGGAGAGAAACTGTACACATGTTCTGTGTGTGGACGAAGTTTCAACCGATCATCTGGCCTGTCGAGACACAAATGCAGTCACAATGGGGAAAAGCCCTGCAAATGTGTGGACTGTGGAAAGGGATTTACTTACCCATCTCAGTTGGAAATGCATCAGCGCAGTCACACTGGGGAGAAACCGTGGAAATGTGGGGATTGTGGAAAGGGATTCAATTATCCATCCGAGCTGGAAATTCATCGGCGCAGTCACACTGCAGAAAAGCTGTTCACCTGCTCTGAGTGTGGGAAGGATTTTGCTCACTTTCACACCCTACTGATACACCAGAGAGTTCACACTGGGGAGAGACCGTTCACCTGCTCCAAGTGTGGGAGAGGATTCAGTACGTCATCCCATCTATTGATACACCAACGAGTTCACACTAAGGAGAGACCTTTTAAATGTCCAGATTGTGAGAAGCATTTTAAAAGTTCTGGGGAACTGATGTCCCATCAACGTGTTCACACTAATGAGAGACCGTTCAGATGCATTGCATGTGGAACTAGATTCAGGCACTCATGCCAATTAACTGTACACCAGCGAGTTCACACTGGGGAAAGACCATTCGCCTGCTCCACGTGTGGGAGAAAGTTCACTCAATCATCCGACTTACTGAAACACCAACGGGTTCACACTGACAGGAGACCTTTTAAGTGTGCAGACTGTGGGAAAAGCTATAAAAGTGCTGGGGAACTTCTGTCCCATCAAAGAACTCACACTGATGAGAGACCATTCATGTGCTGTCACTGTGGGACTGGGTTCGGGCGATCATCTCAGCTCACTGAACACCAGCGGGTTCACACCGGAGACAGACCATTCACCTGCTCAGTGTGTGGCAGTAGATTCACTCGGTCGTTCAACCTGCTAAGACACCAGCGACTTCACACTAGGGAGCCACCGTTCACCTGCTCAGAGTGTGGGAAGGAATTCACTTGTTCATCCACTCTGCTGACACACCAGCGAGTTCACATGCACTGATGTTGTTTAGGGAAGAATGGCACAGTTGCATTTAAAGATGAAGACTGTCCTGATAAGCTGAGTTGAAGGAAAGTAAGGCTCAGATGAAACATGGCTTGGTGAATCCTGCACCTCCTAAACTGTCTGTCTTTCCTTTGAAAGGTGCAACAACAACTGCATCGTGGAGAGTTCTCCACCAGGTGGTGCTGACAGCACAGTTTACCAACACAGCACAGATCAAGATGTTCTGAAACAGGAAGCCAACATCACACCGTCAGAACAGTATCTACAAACACAACTTACTGTCTTTGAGATGTTGTCCATCCTTTCGCATAACACCCCACTGTTTCTAAATAACACCTTTAGTCTTCATGTGATCTGTGCATTCGTAGAACTGTCAAGAATGCAACTGAAAATTGTTTGCATGTTTCATGTTTGTAACATAACACATTCATTAAGTTAAATATGCCAGCAATTTTTTGCAAAGAGTTTCTTTGTCTTCAGGTTTTGCTTTTACTGATTTCATTAGTATTAATTTCCTTGTACATGCAAGCTGGCACCAATCGAGGTAAAGGAATACGATCTCGTAGCCGTTATGGAAACAAGGAGATCAAAACTGGGAACTTTTCTTTCAGGGATATTTAACCTTTTGGACAGATGGGAGGGATTAAAAAGGTGGTGGAGTAGCACAGTTAATAAGAGATGCAATAAGGACAGTTGCAAGAGACGATCTAGGTTCAGATGATGTAGATCTATTTAGGCGGGAGGAAAGATTCCAAGAGAAGGACAAACCAACAATAGCTGACCGTGGTGAGAGCGAGAGCAGGCAACCCGAGGTGGCTCGCGGCGAGAGTATGTTCAGGCAGTCCCGGGGCAGTCGGTGGTGAGATCCTAGTCAGGGAGCCCTGGGTGGCTGGCAGCGAGGGTGGGAGTGAGAACAGGCAGTCCAGGACAGCAGTGGGGAGCAAGGTCAAGCCCAGAGCGGGGGAGGCTGAGCCCTTGTGAGGAGCGCGAGCCCAGCAGGGCCAGGCACTTATGGACTGTGGTGTTGAACTTTCTCTTTATGTTTCTAAATTTTAGTGAGAAGGACTGTAATGTTTAACTTTTTAACTTTGTTAATCTTTACCTAGGTACCTTCGTACCTAAGATGGCACCATAAATGGCGATTTGTAAACTTTTTACTGTACTCATGTGATTACATTTGACAATAATCCCAATCTAATTCATTCATTTCACACCTTCTCACAGTGAGTGACTCCGCTGTGGAGTTTTCCATTTTTTTTTTGTTCAGTTTTCCAATCTTTGTGATATTTCTCCTTTTGTCTGTGCGACAACATCACCTCACTGTGCTGTCCCGGTTAAATCAGTGTAAAGGAATCCCCAACTGAACCTACCTTTTACGGTTAAATTGTGTTACAGTCTTACAGTTATGCGTTACTTTTTTGAGGATTATAAAGTTGGTTCGTTTGAACCTGTCTGTTTAATTTTGAGTAAAACAGATTAATGAAGAGTCTCAGGCATCTTATTCAGATGATAACCTTGGTTCAGTTGCTATGGGAACATGAAACCCAAGTCAAGGAACTTGTTGGGCTGAGTGTATACTTTTCTCAGCTGGGGCAAACAGCCAAGGCAACTATATTAATAAAAAATATGACAATTGTATATGATCAGTGACTGCCGCAACATTCTTGCCTTTAAAACAAACATACTCTTTGCAGATTCTTATTTGAATAGCTATGGATTGAGACCAGGGTATGTTCAACGAGACCTGGGTGCCCTCATGTGGCACTAGCTGCATGTAGTCAAAGAGTCATAAAGGTTTACGGCATGGAAACAGGGCCTTTGGCCAAACTTGTCTGGGCTGTCCAATTTTCCACAATTAATCTGGTCCGGGTTTGCCTGCATTTGGCCCATATCCCTCCCTACCTATCCCATCCATGTACCTGCCCAAATGTTTCTCAAATAACAACATTGTACTCACCTCCACCACTACCTCTGGCAGCCCGTTCCAGACACTCACCACCCTCTGTGTGAAAAAATTGCCCCTTTGGAACCTTTTGTATTTCTCCCCTCTCACCTTAAACCTATGCACTCTAGTTTCAGACTCCCCAGCCATGGGGAAATGCTGTTGGCTATCTACCTTACCCATGCCTCTCATGATTCTGTACACCTACATAAGGTAACCCCTCAGTCTCCTACGCTTCAAGGAAAAGAGTCCCAGCCTATCCAACCTCTCCTTATAACTCAAACCTTCCAGACCAGGTAGCATCCTAGTCAATCCTTTCGGCACTCATTCTTGTTTAATAGTATCCTTTCTATAGCCGGGCGACCAGAATTGCATGCAGTACTCCAAACGTGGCCTCACCAACGTCTGGTACAACTGCAACAATATGCCCCAACTCCTATACACAACACTCTGACTGATGAAAGCAAGCATTCCAAAAGCCTTCTTCACCACCCTGTCTACCTGTGACTCCACTTTCAAGGAGCTATGAACCTGTACCCCTAGATCTCTTTGTTCTACAACACTCTCCAGGGCCCACCATCGACTGTGTAAGTCCTGCCCTAGTTTGACCAACACCTTGCATTTATCTAAATTAAACTCCATGTGCCTTAAAGCCTTATCGCATAATACACAGAACATTCGCATTAAAGTAGATCACATGGACACATGAACATTATAATACAAAGTTCATTTGATCAAAATGTGTACATTCAAAATTATACATGATAATTATATACTCATGAATAGCTCTATAATGGAAATTTCTTTCATTTTACTGTCTGATTCATCTTGCTTTCCCTTTGCGTTAAAGTCTCGTGCTAAACCTGAGAATTCAATTAGAATCTGGCATCTCATCAGGGGTAAAAAAAAGTGAATCCCACCCCAAATTCAGTTGAACTGCTCCTCGCCAGTGTAAACTCGCCAGTGTGCAATGAGCTCAAATAAACAAGCAACTGACTTGTGTTAGACAAATTAAAAAGACCAAGTCACTCAGCAGATAACAAACCTGATTTATTTGCGCAAAAAAATATAAATGGGGTATTATAAAGTTACGATTATCGAGACATGGATACAGAGTGTGCAGGAACTGAATATCTGGGGGGTATTCAGTTTTTAGGAAGGACAGACAAAGAGGAAAAGAAGCTGGGGTAGCATTGTTGGTTAAGTTGCACATTGACACAATACTGAGGGAGGATATTCATTCCAGTGAAGTTGGACTTGCATGGCTAAAGCTTAGAAACACCAAGGGCCAGAAAACAATAATCGGAGCACATATGGACCCCCAAACTGTAGTGGTATTCTTGGGAAAGGGATTAAACAGGAAATCAAAACCACAAGCGGTAAAGATATAGCTGTAATTCTGGGCGACTTTAATCTGCATACAGATTGTTCCCGATTTGATTTGCCAAATGCCATAGAAGAGGAATTCCTGGAGTGTGTACGAGATGGCTTTCTGGATCAATACATTGAGGAACCAACCATGGATAGGCCATCCTAGACTGGATATTGCATAATGAGAAAGGAATAATTGGCAACCTAGCTGTGGGGAAGTAGCCATAGTGTGATAGAATTCTTCACTAAGATAGAGATTGACGTAGTTGATTCTGAGACCAGCGTCCCAAATCTAAATAATGGAAACTATGATGGTACTAAGTTGGCTATGATGAATTGACGAACATGACTGAAAGGGATGACAGTGGATAGGCAATGGCAAACATTTTAAAGAATGTATGGATCAATTGCAACAACTGTTCATTTCTCAAAAATGAAATGGGAAAGGTGGCCCGACCCTGGCTAACAAGGGAAATTAGGGATAGTATAATATCCTATTATATGATACTATATTACATTATTGTGGAAGGACTGTTATTCAGAACTTCTTATTTCTTTATTTTACTAAATTATTGCAATGATTTTGTACTTTTTAAGGCCTGTAATGCTGGACTTTTTATTTCTTTATTTTTCTATTTTTTTCCCCTGAGAATTTGTACTCAAGAACGTGTACCTTCGTACCTTTGTATCTAAGATGGCACCGTAAGTGGCGACTTGTAAACTTTTCACAGTACTCATATAAGTACACGTGACAATAAAGCAAGTTCAATTCAATAATTCGATTCAGTCAAGTACTAGACCCAAGGAAGGGCATACAAATTAGCCCAAAAAAAAAGCAGTAGACCTGAGGTTTGGGAGCAGTTTAGATTTCAGTCAAGGGAGACAAAGCGATTGATTAAGGGGAGTGTGAGAGTCAGCTCGCAGGGTACATTCAAACTCATTGTAATAGCTTCCATATGCAAATGAAGAGCAAAAGATTATTGAAGACAAATGTCAGTCCTTTAAAATGAGAATGAGGAACAAAGAGATGGCAGGCCAATTAAAGTCATATTTTGGTTATTCCTTCACAAAGGAGGACACAAACTGAATAAAAATGTTGGAGGACTTAGAGTCTAGTGAGAAGGAGGAACCGAAGGAAATCAGCACTGGAAAGGAAATGTTGGGGAAACTGATGGATTAAAGGCTGATAAATATGCTGGGCTCAATAATTTACATTCCAGAATTCTTAAAGAAATAAGGGATGCATTGGTGGTCATCTTTCACAGACTCCAGTACAGTTCCTATGGATTAGAGGGTAGCTAATGTAACCTCACTGTTTAAAAAAGGAGGTAGAGAGAAAACAGGAAATTATAGACCTGTTAGCCCGACATCATTAGGAAAATACTAAAATCCATCATAAAATATTTAACAGCAGAACACTTACAAAATAGTGACCGAATTGGACAGAGCCGGCTTGGATTTATGAAAGGGAAATCATGCCTGACAAATCGACTGGAATTTTTTGATAGTGTAACTCGTAGTGTTGATAGGGCAGCCAATGGATGTAGTTTACCTGGACTTTCAGAAAGTTCTTGATGAGGTTGCACATACGAGATTAAAGTGCATGGGTATGGTCATGGATAGAGACCTGGTTGGCAGAAAGGAAATAAACAGTAGGAATAAATGGGTCTTTTCCAAATGGCACCCTTTGACTAGTGGGGTATGATAGGGATAGGTGCTTGGATACCAACTATTCAGAATATATTACAGCAGCAAGATGGCTCAGTGATTAGCACTGCTGCCCCACAGCACCAGGGACCTTGGTTCGATTCCAGACTCAAGTGACTGTTTGTGTGGAGTTTGCACATTCTCCCTGTATCTGTGTTGGTTTCCTCCCACAATCCAAACATGTGGGAGTTAGGTGGATTGACAGTGCTAAATTGTCCATAGTGTCCAGGGATGTGAAGGTTAGTTGGATTAGCCATGGGATATGCAGGGTTACTGGGATACAGCAGCAGGGTGGTTTTAGATGTGATGCTGTTTGAAAGGTTGGTATGGACTCGATGGGCCAAATGGACTGCTTCCAGAACATATATATGATAGATACGTTAATGATTCAGATGAGGGAACTAATATCTCCAAGTTTGCAGACAACACAAAGTTGGGTGGAAGGGTAAGCCGTGACCAGACTGCAGAAGATGCTTCAGTATGATCTGGACAAGATGAGTGCGTGGGTAAATGCATTATAATGTGGATAAATGGGAGGTTAACTATTTTTGTAGCAAAAGCACAAAGGCAGATTATTATCTGATTGGTGATACATTGGGGAGGTGCAATGAGACCTGGATGTCCTTGTATACCAATCATCGAAAGTAAGCAATCGGGGCAGGCGTCGAAGAAGGCACATGGTATATTGGCCTTCACAGCATGAGGATTCAAGTCCAGGAGCGGGGATAAGATGACAAAGAGATCTTGATTCAGTCAATGGGCTGAGGAGTGGCAGAAGGAGTTTAATTTGGATAAATGTGAGATATTGCATTTTGGTAAAACAAACAAAGGCAGGACAGACTGGTACAATTAATGGTAAGGCCTTGGCTAGTTTTGAGAAAGAGCGATCGAGGGGTTCAGGTACATACTTCTTTGAAATTTGCGTCACAGGAAGACAGGGTAGTTAAGAAGGTATTTAGCATGCTCAGACCTTTTAGTATAGAAATTGTTGAGGTTCTACAGGATGTCAGTAAGGCCTCTTCTGGAGTATTTTGTGCAGTTCTGGTCGCCCTGTTATAGGAAAGATATTATTAAATTGGAGGGTTCAAGAAACAATTTACCAGGATGTTGCCAGGAATGGAGGGTTTGAGTTATGGGGAGAGGCTGGGACTTTATGCACTGAAGTGTAGGAGGTTGAGGGGTGACTTTATAGAGGTTTATAAAATCATGAGGGGCATAGGTAAGGTGAATAGCAAGGTTCTTTTCCCTAGGATGATGGAGTTCAAAACTAAGGGGCATATTTTTAAAGTGAGATGGGGAAAGTTTTAGAAAAGATTTTGGGGAGGTAACATTTTTTACACGGAGTGGTTTATATGTGGAATGGACGCCAAGAGGAAGTGGTGAATGCAGGTACTCCTCTAACATTTAAAAGACATTTGAATACATAAGTACATGAATAGGAAAGGTTACAGAGATATGAACCAAATGCAGGCTAGTGAGACTAGTTTAGTTTGGGAACATGGTCGGCATGGACTAGTTGGACTGAAGGGTCTGTTTCCATGCTGTATGACTCTATGTCTCACTGCAATTGTATAGGGCCTTGGTGAGACCATATCTGGAGCATTGCGTGCAGTTTTGGTCTCCATATCTGAGGAAGGATGTTCTGGCTACAGAGGGAACGCAACAACGATGTACCAGGCTGATTCCTGTGATAGCAAAACTGATGGTGTGAAGAGAGACTGGATCAGTTAGGACTATATCAATCAGAGTTCAGAAAGAAGAGGGGAGATCTCACAGAAATCTCTAAAATCCCAACAGGACTAGACCGGGTAAAACGCAGGTAGAATGTTCTCAATGCCTGGAGATTCAGAACCAGGAATCACAATATAAGGATATGGGGTAGGCCATTTAGGACTGAGATAAACAAAAATTTCTTCACCCAGAGAGGGGATGAACATGTGAAATTCTCTGCCACAGAAATCAGTTGAGGCCAAAATTGCATGATTTCAAGAAGGAGCTGGAAATAGTTCTGAGGGCTAAAGGGATCAAAGGATACAGGGAGAGAGTCGGAACAGGGTACAGAGTTGGATGATCAGCCATGATCATACTGAATGGCAGAGGAGGCTCACAGGACCAGATGGCCTATTCCTGCTACTATTTTCTAAGTTTCAATGCAACATGTTTCAGTTATGGATGTGATCACCAGCAAAATTAAACTCTGTGGTTATTCATGAACTCGCTGGTGTTTCAGCAGAGCAGGTGAACATGTGAATGCCTTCCCACACGAAGCAGGTGAACAGTCCCAACCCTGTGTGAATGAGCTGGTGTATTAGCAGAGTGGATGACTAAATGAATCCATTTCCACACACGGAGCAGACGAACGGCTTCTCCCCGGTGTGAACCCGCTGGTGTGACTGCAGGTGGGATAACTGAGTGAATCCCTTCCCACAGTCAGAGCAGGTGAATGGCCTCTCCCCAGTGTGAGCCCGCTGGTGTTTACTGAGGCCAGACAACTGTCTGAACCTGATTCCGCAGTGAGAGCACCTGAATCGTTTCTCTTCGATGTGAACGTGTTGATGGGACATCAGTTCCTCTGAACTCCTGAAGCACTTCTCACAGTCTGGACATTTGAAAGGTCTGTCATTAGTGTGAACTCGCTGGTGCCTCAACAGGTGGGATGACTGAGTGAATCCCCTCCCACACTTGCAGCAGGTGAACTGCTTCTCTCTCTCGAGTGAATGCATTGGTGTAGCAGCAGACTGGACGACTGAGTGAATCCCTTTCTGCATTTGGAGCGGATGAATGGCCTCTCCCCAGTGTGACTGCGCCAATGAGCTTCCAGCTCAGATGGAGCTTGGTATCGCTTCCCACAGTCCCCACATTTCCATGACTTCATCCCTCTATTGCTACATTTATGTTGCAACAGGCCAGATGATCGGCAAAAACCTCGTTCACTCTTAGAACACGTGCACATTTTCTCTCCACTGTGAATGGCATTTTTTCTTTCCATTTTCAAAATCTGAAGATATTCAGGTTATGGTACACTGGGGAGACTCCGTCAGAGCCTTATATGACATTTGGTTCAGGTTTCCTTTTCTAATGCCCTGTAAACAACAAACCATCCTCAAACATTCTGTAAAAGAAATTTACAAAAAAGAATCATCACTGTCATTCCAGGATTGAAATTCAGCGGAGACAAACATTTCTCTTGGTTTGAGTTTACTGTGCGTAAATCCTCCCCTTCCAACCCCCGTCAAAGTAGTTTTCAAAATTTATCACTGTCAATCCAGGATAAATGTTCATAGCATCCCCTTCTCCCACAGCAGGATGACCATTCATGCTATCTCCAGCATACTGCTCACAAGAACCTTAAACACTGCTCCTTTTTGGGTCAGGAGTCCCTCGATTCCAGGATGATATCTCCTCGCAGTCATTGGACATATGGGGCAGGGCGTCTCATGGGTAACTGGGATCCAGACAGCTTCCTTTTCGCGCCGCTGCTCTGCCTCATCGATACGACATTGGGTGTGAAAGGCTCATGCAGCTTGATAGACAAGTCGTCTCCATTGTCATTGCAAACGTTGCCCCTTAAAAAGATGTCGGATACACATGCGCCCTGCAGCTCAGTGCCCCCAATAGAAATGCAAGCACCCCCCCTCTCCGGGAACCCTGCCAATGCGAGGGGCCGTCTTCCCGGTTTGGTGGAGACGGGAACGGGAGTTTCCTGCTCCGGAACCGCACCGCTCACCCATTATAGGTTTCCTCCCTCCGATCCGTTTGTGGATCTAACAAACAGAAGACTGACCATCAGCGGCCTGGAGAAAGACGTCCACTCTGCACGTACTTTAAAGAACTGCGCCGCAGAAGTGCAGCGCGCACGCTCCAGCTCGGCGGCCAGGTTGATTGACAGCAGCTCCTGACCAATAAGAAGAAAGAGCAGTTCTGGAGGACCGAAACGTGGCGACTGGTCCTCCAACCAATAGGAATAAACGGGGGCGGGACTGGAGGACCACGCGTGAGTAAATAGGAAAGGGCAGAACTGACCCTGGAGCTCTTTCATTGTCTGAGAGTCTGCCTGCCTGATCGATAACTTGTAAAACCAGGGACCTGCGAATGCTGGAAATCAGAAACAGAAACTGCTGCAAGGAAAAAAACCTCAGACCTGGCAGCATCTGTGGAGCCAAAGCGGAGTTAAAGGTTTCAGGCTTCTGCCTTGTCTCCACAGATGCTGCCAGATCCGTTCAGTTTTTAATCAGGAATTTCTGTTTGTGTGTGTCACCTTATTTGTGTCAAACTCAGAAGAACCTGCTCCTCTCTGTTGGAGGCTTTAAACAGAGGAAACCCCGTGGGCTGGAGCAAACATCTGTTACTGAAATGCATTAATTCAGGGCAGACAGCAGGGACTATATGAAGAAACCACACATTGTAGTGAGAACGGGCTTTCAGTGTCAGCTTTGGGAGCTGGGGCCTGTTGGGAATCAGCAGTTTAGGTCTGAGAGGGCAGGAGGGGATATGTGGAAAAGTCAAGAAAAATATAGGTTTGGGTCTTGGCCAAGGAGGAGCTTTAAGACATGGTTTGGCCTAGTGACCTTGCGTAAGGGAGGGAAGTAGCAGAGGCAGATGATCACGACCTTAAGTGACAACATAGTTCCACAAGCTCCTTGCACGTGTTGGAAATGAAGATAGATGAGGCAAGTAGGAGGGTGAGCATTTGAAAAGGGACCAACTTCACTCAGCGATATTAAAAAGACTTAACATTCTATGAATTTAAAACAAAGTCACTTTATTTGACCGTAATCCACATATCAACCCCTATAGTATGCACTGCAGTTAATAAACATCAGCAGAAATGTATCCAAGTGAACATGACACAGGCCTGGACGTGATTAACAGCAAAATCTAATGACTCAGTTTACTTATGAATTTTCTGATGTTTCAGCAGGGTAGATGACCGAGTGAACCCCTTCCCACAATCTGAGCAGGTGAATGGCCTCTCCCCAGTGTGAACCCGCTGGTGTCTCAACAGACTGCATAACTGAGTGAATGTCTTCCCACAGTTGAAGCAGATGAAAGGTTTTTCCCCAGTGTGAACCCGCCAGTGAGTCACCAGAGTAGATGACCGACTGAATCCCTTCCCGCACTGGAAGCAGGTGAATGGCCTCTCCTCACTGTGAGTACTCCGATGTTTCAGCAGGCTGGCTAACTCAGTGAATCTCTTCCCACACTCAGAACACATGAATGGTCTCTCCCCTGTGTGAATTCGCTGGTGTATCAGCAAGGTGGATGAGGAAGTGAATCCCTTCCCACACTGTGAACAGGTGAATGGCCTCTCCCCGGTGTGAATTCGCTGGTGTACAGTGAGGTCAGACGATCGCTTGAACCCAATCCCACAGTGAGAGCACCTGAATGGTCTCTCGTCGGTGTGAACGCGTTGATGGGACATAAGTTCCCCGGAACTTTTGAACCGCTTTGCACAGTCTGGGCACTGAAAAGGTCTCTCATCAGTGTGAAGCCGCTGGTGTATCAACAGCTTGGACGATTGAGTGAATCCCTTCCCACACTCGGAGCAGGTGAACGGTCTCTCCCCCGTGTGAAGCTTCTGGTGTGTCAGCAGGGTGGACGACTGAGTGAATCCCTTCCCGCACTCGGAGCAGGTAAACGGTCTTTCCCCAGTGTGAATGCGTTGGTGTCTCACTAGGTGGGATGACTGAGCGAATGCCTCCCCACACCGCGAACAGGCAAACGGTTTCTCGCCGGTGTGAACGTGCCGGTGTTTCACAAGGGTAGAAGACTGTGCGAATCCCTTCCCACACTCGGAGCAGACGAACGGCCTCTCTCCGGTGTGAACTGGCTGGTGTGCGAGGAGGTCAGATGATGTCCTGAAGCCAGCCCCACAGTGAGAGCACCTGAATGGTCTCTCGTCAGTGTGAACGCATCGGTGAAAAATCAGGTCCCAAGAACTTGTGAAGCATTTGGTGCAATCTGAGCATTTGAAAGGTCTCTCGTCAGTGCGACCCCAGTGCTGCGTCAGCAGGGTGGAAGAGGAAGTGAATCCCTTCCCGCTGTCAGAGAAGGCGAACAGTCCCTCCCTGGCCTGACTGCGCCAATGTGTTTCTAGTTTAGACAAGGATCTGGATTCACCCTCATAGCCCATACATTTCCATAGCTTCTCCCTACCACAACTACATTTATGTCCTAACTGGTCAGATGATTGGCCAAAGCCTTGTCCACACACAAACCGTGTGTACAATTCCTCCCCACTGCGCACGGTGCCTCCTCCTTCCATGTCCAAACTCCGATGATGTCCAGGTTACGATAAAGTGAGCGACCTCACCAGATCCTGATGTGACATCTGGTTTGGGTTTCCTGATTACATCCTGTGAAATCGGTTTAAAACAGGTAACAGGGAGTGCAGGGCCACACAGGGAATCGCAAACTTATGAAAATGAATGGAACGCATTTGTGGGGCTGGCATTAGGAAGAAGTGACTGTGAAAGCTGCTGAATTGTCACAAAAATCCAACTGGCTCACCCTCAAAAGACTGTGGCCTCCATGTGTGGGAAGACAGTAAATGGGAGAGGCAGGGAGTGGAAGAGAGTGATTTCAGTTTTACAACCCAACTACAAGATTGACTGAACCTCCCGATCACTCAATTCCCACCTCTTGGAAGCACCAGGGTTGCAGGTGTATGTGAATACTATCATCTCCAAGTTCCCTCCAAAGTCACACACAATCCTGACGTGTGTGCCATCCAGTACTTGATCAGTGAATGTTTCTTCCACTTAAATATTGGGAAGACTGAATCCATTGACTTCAGTCCCTGCTACAAACTCCACTCCCTCACCACTAATTGCAACCCTCTCCCTGTTAACCATACGAGGCTGAACCAGACTGTTCACAGCCCTGGAGAAATATTTCCCACCAGGAGGAGATCCAAATAACATATCCCCATCATCACCAAAACCGCCTATTTCCACCTCAGTAACAGAGTCATACAGCGCAGAAACAGACCCTGTCCATGCTGAACTTAATCCCAAACTAAACTAGTCCCACCTGCCCACTCCTGGCCCATATCCCTCCAAGCCTTTCTTATTCACGTACTTATCCAAATGTCTTTTAAATGTTGTAACTGTACCCACATCCACCACTTCCTCAGGATATTCATTCCACACACAAACCGCCCTCTGTATAAAACATTTGCCCTGCATATCCTTTTTAAATCTCTCTCCTCTCACCTTAAAAATATGCCCCCTAATCTTGAACTCCCCCATCCTAGGGAAAAGACACCTATCATTAACCCTATCTGTACGCCTCATGATTTTATAAACCTCTATCAGGTCACCTCTCAACTTCCTATGCCCCAGAGAAACAAGTCCCAGCCCTATCCAGCCTTTCTTTATAACCCAAACTTTCCATACCTGGCAACATCCTGGTAAATCTCTTCTGAACCCTCTCTAGTTTAATAATATCCTTTCTATAAGAGGGCAACCAGAACTGGACACAGTACTCCAGAAGAGGCCTCACCAATGTCCACCAGACTCCTCTCCAGTCTCAGCTCATCTGGTGCTAATACTGTCATCCATTCACTTGTTACCTTTAGATTTAACAATCTTAACACACTCCCAGTTGGCCTCCCACATTTAACCTCCTTTCAATCTTGAGGTCATCTGGAGGCCTGTGCGTTTACCCTCCCCTCCTGTTCACACTGGTCTTCAAGATTCTGGATTAAGTAGCACCAACATTTTAAAATTCTGAACTGAGGTTTCAAAATTCCTGTTTGCCTCTGTAATTCACACAAGCCTTACAACCCTCCCCATCTTTGTAACCTCCTTCAGCCTCACGACACCCCCCACCCCCCCTCCATATCCGTAACCTCCTCCAGCCTCTGAGATGTCTCAATTCTTCTTGTTCTGTCTTCCTGAACATTCCCAATTTTAATCTCATCACTACTGGTCTTCAGTTAGCAAGGCCACGAGCTCTGGAATCATCCCTAAACCTCTACCTCATCTTCCTAATTTAAAATAATCCTTAAAACTTCCCTCTGTGTCCCAGATTTTGGTCACCTGACCCAAGATCACCATGTGGTCCTTTGTCAACTGTTGCTTTTTGAAATTTCTGTGAACAGCCTTGGCACATTCTATTATGTGAAAGGTTCTATATAAATTCAAGTTGCTGTTCTTTGTATGTACATCACTGTTCCTGCATCATCACTTTTTACCCAACAGCATTGTGAGAAAACCTTCACCACACACACTGCAGTTGTTCAGGAAGCTCAAACATCACCTTCTACACTGGGATATTCAATATCTGCTGAAACCTGTGGAGATCGAAATAGAATCAATGTTTCAGGATGTTCGGAATGAATTAAAAATGGTGCAGAATTTGATGCTCAATATAAGCCCTGCAATGGACTATAGTACAGGAAAAATAATTCATTTCTGTGAAAGATTCCATGAGAAGACAAAGCTGGTAGGTTTACAGCACATGATCAGGGGATGGGCAGCAGAAGAATCTCATTTAGTCACAGTCGGTGAACGTAACACTAAAATACCAACCCTGACTAAAACCATTATTTACTGTCAGAGCAATGATAGAGTTGTTCGGGGAGGGCAGAGATGAAACACAGCAATGAATGGACATGGATTTAGATCCACAATAAACAAGCCCCAGAGCCATAGAACCTCTCAAAAAATAACACAGGACAACCGAAAAGCTCAAGATTATAGATGAATGGTCAAAAATACTCACCTCTGAAGTTTTACAATGTCCTGCTGGAGCCTGCAGCCAGAAGGATGGCAGAAGCACTTATTATAATCCCAGCTGATGTTCCTACTGGACAGGCCAGATCCCAAAATGTAACCTGGCTTGACAGATCATATTTATTTATTTAAACTCGCAGTCATTCATAGTAACATTGGCGCACAAGGCTGTAGGTTTACTTTAACAATAAAATCAGTATTGCTACACAAAGGGAGAAAATAAAAACTAAATATAGAATGCAATTTTAAAGATATTAAAAGATATAGCAAAACAAAGTCTCATCTGCTCCCCAACACCATGACTTTTACAGAGCCTCATATCCTGAGAAATTCCCCTTCCATGTCAAATATTTAGTTTTGACAAACTGCTTCTCCCCTGTACTGTCCTGTGAACTGTGCAGCCTTCTCACACGAATACTAAATAAATCTGGAGTTCCGCAGAAGGGGTCACCAGACCCAGAACTCTGATTTCTCTTCACAGATACTGCCAGACCTGCTGAGCTTTTCCAGCAACTTCTGTTTTTGCTTCTCACATGAATACTGTAAAAACTGAAAACTTAAGACTTTCTCAGGACTCAACCTGAATACTCTGCAGATCTCTAACCAAACACGACTGGACTGCAAGTTTCTCAACCTAAATTTAAAACAATATAACTGCTTTCCCTGAACTGTCCAATACTCCTTTTGAGGACAGAATTATATTTACTTATGAACACAGTCAGGTCTTCACCAAAAACTGTACTTAGAACTTTTACTCTCTGGGTTTTCTGAGCTAAAGTCAAACCTGGATTATTCTAAGCCAAAAGCAACCTAATTAATGCACTGTTTACACTCTCTGCCATAAATCCATAGTCACAGCAAAGATTCATTTACACTCTAGAAAGTTCATAGTTACCTGTGTCTGTCACTTGGCTTTCTGAAACCTTTCTCAAAGGAACCAACACCTATACGCCACTAGTTCAAAATCCAAACTCTACAAATGATACTTATCCAAATCACAAATCATCCGACACTGGGATCATCGAAAAATCTCTCAGCTGAGGCCACACCCAGGGAGTGTAATAAAATCACACAAGAATGCAGAGTATCTGGGTCTGTGCAAACCAGTAATAACCACATATTACAATGAATATGGCATGGAGAGAATGCAGAGGTAATTAATAAAAATGGTTCAAGGGATGAGGAACTTCAGCAGCAAGATTAGGGTTTTGTTATTATGCATTCATGGAATGTGGGCATCGCTGGCGAGATCAGCATTTAATCTTCATACATAACTTCCCTTAAATTCAGACATCACACAACACCAGGTTACAGTGCAACAAGTTTATTTGAAAACACAAAATTAGTCCTAACACCTGAAGGAGGGCTGAGGCTCTGAAAGCTTGCGTTTTCAAATAAACTTGTTGGACTGTAACCTGGTATCGTGCGATTTCTGACCTTGCCCATCCCAGTCCAACACCAGCAGCTCCACATCAATGGCCTTCACTTAAAGTGTTGGAGTGCAGCCTTCTTGAATTGTTGCATCCATTGTGCTGTGGGGAAATGAGTTCCAGGATTGACTCCTTGCAACAGTGAAGGAACAGCATTGATACAGCTGCAATTCAGGATGGTGTGTGCCTTGGAGAAATCTGGTGGTGCTCTTGTGCTATCTTTGTCATTCTCAGTGGTAGGGGTCATGGGTTTGGGGCCTAAGTGAATTATTGCAGTGCATCTTGTGGGTGGTACACCTTGCTGCCAACGTGCATTGGTGGTGAAGGGAATGGCTGTTGAAGGTGGTGCCAATCAAGTGGACTAATTGATCCTGAATGGTGTCAAGTCTGTTGATATTGTTGGGAGCTGTACCAATTCAGTCAAGCGGACAGTACTTTGTCATGCCCCTGATCCCAGCGTGGGCCCCTGGTTGACAGCAGTAGCTGAAGACTTTGAGTGGCGGCTTGGCCTGGCATACCCGATGGAGGTCGGCTGGGGCGGTGAGGGTGGCTAGTGAGCACAGGCGGGTCTTAGCCCAGCGTGAGAAAGCATACGCAGCGCAGGGGAGAATGAACCCTCTTGGGGAAAGCTCAACTTGGGAGTGTCTGCAGGCCTGTGACTTAAGAAAGGACTGTAATGTTTGACTTCTCAAACTTTATTTTTCCACTTTTATACTAAGACTGTAGTGCTGAACTTCTGAAACTTATTTTTTTATTTTTCTAGATCTGTAACCAAGATTTTGAAACTAAGATGGCGCCGTTTGTGGCCACACTGTACAACTTTCACTGTAATCTTGTACCCTGTAGTTGAGTACACATGGCAATAAAACCTAAATCCAAGTCTAATCTGTGCCTTGTAGATGCAGGGCAGGCACTGGGGAATCAGAGTTGGAAACATTGAGACTGTTCTTGCAGCAAAGGATTTGGGGAGATTTGGTAGGAGTGCTACTGATAAAGCTAGATAAGGTGGATAAAACTTGTCCTTATCAGCTGATCGAGAAAGGATTATGAGACAAGATCTTCTGGCAGGAGTGTCCACATTCAAACAAGAAATTTCTTGCTGTGAATGGTAATTACCTGAAACTAGATACTTACACTAAAAAGCTGCTAACGTCCTAGTCCATCTGAACTGAGTGATTCTGTCGGATTTTGACGTGATGTTTGGTTTGCGCGGCTCATCTGCAAATCTCCTGAAACCATCCTGTAAAAGAAATTTACAAAAGTAATCACTGTCAATCCTGGATAGAGATTCATATAAGCTAAACATCTTTCTCTGTGTGAGTTCATCATGTGGGAAGTACTCCTAATTTAAAGCCCTGTTAAAGGAGTTTCCACAATCTGTTCCTTTCAATCCAGAATAAAATTCACAATATTCCATCTTTCTGGCCAAAGATGACCTCACATGCGGCCTGTGGCACATTGCCCCTCGTGATTGTCAGTCCGTTGATTCAAGAATCACATTTTCTCGGCATGATGGGTTTCTTTCCTGGGTTTTCATGTGACTGAAATGAGCCACAGACCTTTGGACACCTAAGGCAGAATTGTCCCGTGAGGTAAAAACAGAAATTGCTGGAGGAACTCAGCCGAACAGGTAGCATCTTGAGTTCTAAAGACAGGCCACTGCACTCGAAACGTTAACTCTGCTTTCTCTCCCCAGTTGCTGCCAGACCTGCTGAGTTCCTCCAGCAATTTCTGTTTTTGTTTCAGACTTCCAGCAACCGCAATTTTAATGTCCCATGAAGTAGTAGAACCAGGGAGCAAGATTTATTAGAGACAACAAGGTGCAGGGCTGGATGAACACAGCAGGCCAAGCAGCATCATAGGAGCAGAGAGCCTGACGTTTCGGGCCTAGACCCTTCATCAGAGAAGGGGGTTCTGAAATAAATGGGGAGAGAGTGGGAGGTGGATAGAAGAGGGATAGAGGAGAGGAAACAAACAGGTCGAAGTGGCGGGCATGGGGCCAGTAAAGGTGAGTGTAGGTGGGGAGTTAGGAAGGGGATAGGTCAGTCCAGGGAGGACGGACAGGTCAAGGGGGCGGGATGAGGTTGGTTGGTAGGAGATGGAGGTGCGGCTTGAGGTGGGAGGAAGAACAGGTTAGGGAGGCAGGGACGAGCTGGACTGGTTTTGGGATGCGGTAGGGGGAGGCTAGCAAGATTTATTACATTGGGTGTGAGAGGTTCATACAGTTTCATGGACCAAGTTTTGTCTCCGCTCTGAACAATGGACTACACGCTCCTCCCAGTCATTCCAAACATTGCCCCCTACAAAGATGGCGTACGCACCGTCCAGTACCCCCACCTAAGATGGCGGCAAAACGCCGGGGCCTGACACTGGGACGAAGCCTGGTGCCATTTTTCAATTTGTTGCAAACGGGGGGCAGGAAGATTGTCGTTCAGCGTTTGAACTGACCCAAGACGTCTGCGGAACCTTCCCGCGCATCCACCGCCCTATCTCTCACTCCTTCCTGTCCGCCTGCTACTCATTGTTTGCAGATCAGACAAAGGGGAGACTGACCACCGGCGGCTTGGGAAAAAAATGCCGACCGTACATGCGCTCTTCAGATCACTGCAGCCGGCTTCAACAGTGCCTCTTCGAACACGGTGTGGGGGGGGGTAGTGGCTGATTGACGGCAGTTACAGGCCAATAGAAGTAGTGGGCGTGGCCGGATACCCCGGCAAACGGGTCCAGCCTCTCAACTAATCAGAGCGAAGGAATGCATGTTATCTCAGATTCTCCAGCATCTGCAGTTCCTGCTATCTCTGAATGAAGGGCGGGCTTAGCGGCAATGACGTTTCCACGTCGCGTCTGGACGCTGAGAGACGATGTTAAAAGTGGGGAAAGAGCACATAGTGGGAGTCAAGTGGAGGTAGTGTGGGCTGAAAGGTCTCGTGAATATCTGGTGCATACCTCCAGACAGATATGAGAAGCTACGGGTGACCTGTTTACAGCAACCAGGTATGGGCCTCGGGCTGTGATGGGCCCAGGTTTCCGCGGCCACCACAATTAGGAGCAATGATCCGTGGACGCATGCGCGGCAACCATCTTTATGTAGGAAATGTGCAACAGGGTGCATGCGCAGCGTTCCTTTGAAAGTGGGTCACCAGGAGAGTATTGGTACACTGCAAGCTCAAACCAAGAGAAATCTATATATTTTCTGAGATTTTTTTTTCCCCTTTTTGTCTGTTTTTCAGGCATTTGAAATGGGAACGATCTGACAATGTCATTTGTTTCACCACAGCCTGAATATCATCAAGCCCTTGTGGAAGGAAAAGATTTCAGGTATGCGTTGGGGCTTGAAGTGCTCCCAGATATTCACAATCCTGGTTTGACCAATCCTGTGATTACGTGTTCAGTTCCAGGCACCCTACCTGAGGAGGGACAAATGGCGTCGGGGAGCATGAAACGGCTTTACCCGAATGACACTTTGCCTCCTGCGGTTAAATTAATTAGCGAAGATCAAACAAGTACAAAAGAGATAAATTGTGGCCCGAGCTTTCAGGAGTGAATGAGGAAACACTTGCTGGTCAGTCTTAAGTTTAAATTTGACATTGATAGATATTTCTAAGTATATAAGGGATTGATGAGCAAAAGCTCACAGATCAGCCACGTTGGAAATAGTGAGCAGGTCGGGCAGCTTCTGTGGAAGCAGAAACTGGGTTAACTTTTCAGATCTGTGAACTAAAAAGACCGTCATCCCTCCAAGATGCCTCCTATATGTCTCATTCCTTGCTCTGTTCCCAAAGCCTTGCAAGTTTATATCCTTTGTCAACCATTGATCATTTCCATTTCCATTTTCATCATCATCATAGGCAGTGCCTTCTGCATATTACCAGTCACACTGTTAACAAAAACACTTTCCTATCTACCTCATTCCCAAAAGCTTTAAGTCTGTGTTGCCTAATACTTGTGCCATCATTGTTTGGATGTAACTTTTTCTTTGTCTACCTTATCTAACTTATAATCTTTTGGGCTGTCAAAACTCCACTGATGTATTTTTCTCCAAGGAAAATACCCATTTCTCCAAACCAGACTTGTAACTACGATTCATTTGTCTAAGATTGGTGGAGTAGCAAATAGTGAAGGGGACTGTCGGAGAATGCAGCAGAATATAGATAGATTGGAGAGTTGGGCAGAGAAATGGCAGATGGAGTTCAATCCAGGCAAGTGCGAGGTGATGCATTTTGGAAGATCCAGTTCAAGAGCGAGAGATCTGGGTGTTCAGGTCCATTGTACCCTGAAGGTGGCAACGCAGGTCAATAGAGTGGTCAAGAAGGCAAACGGTATGCTTTCATTCATCGGACGGGGTATTGAGTACAAAAGTTGGCAGGTCATGTTACAGTTGTATAGGACTTTGGTTCGACCACATTTGGAATACTGCGTACAGTTCTGGTCGCCACATTACCAAAAGGATGTGGACGCTTTGGAGAGGGTGCAGAGGAGGTTCGCCAGGATATTGCCTGGTATGGAGGGTGCTAGCTATGAAGAGAGGTTGAGTAGATTATGATTATTTACATTAGAAAGACGGAGGTTGAGGGGGGACCTGATTGAAGTCTACAAAATCATGAGAGGTATAGACAGAGTGGATAGCAAGAAGCTTTTTCCCAGAGTGGGGGACTCAATTACTAGGGGTCACAATTTCAAGGTGAGAGGGGAAAAGTTTAAGGGAGATATGCGTGGAAAGCTCTTTACGCAGAGGGTGGTGGGTGCCTGGAATGCGTTGCCAGTGGAGGTGGTCGAGGCAGGCACGATAGCATCATTTAAGATGTATCTAGACAGATGCATGAATGGGCAGGGAGCAGAGGGATACAAATCCTTGGAAAATAGGCGACAGGTTTAGATAGAGGATCTATCAGGCTTGGAGGGCCGAAGAGCCTGTTCCTGTGCTGTAATTTTCTTTGTTCTTTATTCTTGTTCTATGAACCACTGGTAAATCACCTCTGTATCCTGTGAACAACCCTTTGTATCCTTCCTGAAATATCATAACCAGAACTGGCTTGTAACCAGAGCTTTGTAAAGGTCAGAATCTCTTCCGTGAGTTCGTTCTTGTTGCCTCTATTTTATATTGCATAAATTTTCTAACCGCTCTTTGAACGTGTTCTGTCACTTTTAAAGAATAGTGCCAATTAACCTCCACGTCTCTCTGTCCCTACACACTCTTTAAGTCATCTTTTTAATACACTTGTGGGACATGACCATGGCTGGCCTTGCCAGCATTTTATTGTTTGTCCCTAACTGCCCTTAAGAAGGTGGTGGCGAGCTGTCTTCTTGAACCATTACAGTCCCCATGCTCTGGGTTGACACACAATGTCCATGGGGAGGGAATTCCCAAAATCTTGACCCAGCGACATTGAAGGAATGGTGATTACATTTCCGTGTCAGGATGGTAAATGGCTTGGAGGGAACTTGCAGGTGGTGGTGTTCCCATGTATCGGCTGCCCTTGTCCTTCTAGATGGAAGTGGTGATGGGTTTGGAAAATGTTGTCTAAGGATCTTTGGTGAACGTCTGCAGTACATCTCGTAGATAGTAATACCAGTGGGTATTGAGCATTGGTGGTGGAGGAAGTGGATGTGGTGCCATTCAAACAAGTTGTTTTGTCCTGAATGGTGTCAAGCTTCTTTTGTTGGAGGTGCACGCATCCAGGCAACTGGGAATTATTCCATCACACTTGTGCCTTGTAGATGGTGGATAGGCTTTGGGGAGTCAGTTATTCACCACAGTATTCCTAGTCTGTGACCTGCTCTTGTAGCCACTGTGTTTGTGATGAGTCCATCTGAGTTTCTGTTCAATGGTAACCCCAAGGCTTTTGATAGTTGGGAAAATTCAGTGATGGCAACACCATTGATTGTCAAGGGGCGGTGATTAGATTGTCTGTCTGTCTGTCTGTCTGACTGTTATTGGAGAAGGTCATTGCCTGGCATTTGTGTGGCGTGAATGTTACTCGCTGCTTGTCAGCCCAAGCCTAGATATTGTCCAGATCTTGTTGCATTTGACCATGGACTGCTTCAGTATCTGAGGAGTCGCGAATGGTGCTGAACATTGTGCCGTCATCAGTGAACATCCCCACTTCTGACCTTGTGATGCAGCTGAAGATGGTTGGGCCTAGGACACTACCCTGAGGAGCTCCTGCAGAGATGTTCTGGAGCTGAGGTGACTGACATCCAACAATCACAACCATCTTCTGATATAAGGATGAGTTTACCAATCTGACAGTTGCAGCTGCATCTGTCCATGACAGTATGGGTATGAGTGACCACCGCACAGTCCTTGCGGAGTCAAAGAGAATACCCTGCACAGTGCTGTGACACTATCACAGCGCCAAGTGAGACAGACTTTGAACAGATCTAGCAACTCGAGACAGGAGGTGCAGTGGCCCATCAATGGCAGCAGACCTGTACTCCAGCACAATCTGTAACCTCATGGCCTGGCATATTCCCCCATTGAGCCATTACCAACGAGCCAGGGGTTCAACTCTGGCTCAATAGAGGGCAGGAGGACCATGCCAGGAGCAGCACCAGGCATACCTGAAGATGCAGTGTCAACCTGGTGAAGCTACCAAACAGGGCTATTTGCACGTCAAACAGCATAAGCAGTAAATAATAAACACAGCTAAGTGATCCCACAACCAATGGATCAGGTGTAAGCGCTACATTCCTGCCACATGCAATCATGAATGGTGGTGGAATGCAGTGTATAGTCTTTCTTCTCATTGCTTCTCTCAAAACACATCCCCTCGCTGTGTGTTCTGAAGATGAGAAATATTCAACTCAAAAACTAACTCTGTTTCTCACTTCACAAAGTCTGCCATGCCTGAGTTGCTTTTTTTTTTGAGCACTTCCTGTTTTTTTTAGGCTCATTGAATGGAAACATTCCTGGAATTTGAACAAATTACTCCCATTCATTTAAAGATATCAATTAGGAACTGGTAGGGCCAATAGAGAGGGACTATTTCCATTGTTTAGAGAATCCAGACCAGAAGGACAGTCTTTAAAATCGAGAGGCAGAGTTTTCAGGAGTGAATGAGGAAACACTTCTTCTTGAGACAGAATTGGTAAAAATAAGAAATTCCTTTCCTCAATGGTGGTTTATGTGAGCTCTGTTAAACTTAAATTTAAACCTGTTAACAGACCACGTGCAAGGATCACAGATCAGCCTTGCTGGGGACACTCAGCAAGTTGGGCAGCTTTTGTGGAAATAGCCACTGGGTTACCTACTTTTATCTACCGTTCCAACAGCATCCACATCCAGAAGATCATCATCTGCCGTTTCCGCCACCTCCAGCGAGATGCCACCATCAGACGCATATTCCCCTCTCCTCCCTTGTCTGCCTTCGTCGGGAACTGTTCCCTCAGGGACACCCTGGTCCACAGCCCTACAGCACCTTCCCCTATAAATGGCAAAGGTGTAACACCTGCCCATTTACCTCCTCCCTCCCCAGTGTCCAAGGGCTCCAGGTGAAGCAGACTTCACCTGCACTTCCCACAATCTAGTTTACTGCATTCGCTACTCACAACGTGGTCTCCCCTACGTTGGTGAAACGAAGC